TGACATGGAAATGTGAAATAATCAACATTATCATAAATTCCGCCGACAGTATAAAAGTCGATTACACCAAGGTGTTGTCTTTCAGTTTGATATATTTGGTCAAATAATATGCTGTAATTACAATCATCTGTAATTGTAAAAACAGTCAGTTTTAGTCTGACAATGAGCAATGAAATTAAGCACGTAAAGAGGAGAATAAAGAATCTGCACTGACGGAGTTCGTGTACAGTGACTTACATGTAATTTTTGACGTTATCCATTTGAAGTATCAAACAAGAACATGACCCTAACCTTCACACAATCAACATTTTGCTTACAAGCGTTCATCTCATAAAATTGTAGATACTGGTGCTCCAATTAAAAATCTATTATGAATGATTATTGTAGGTATTTTTATACCTGTAGTGTGGGGTATAATATTTTACAATTTAAAATGAACACACAGTGATATATATATATACATATATATATTTATTGATATCAAAATTGAATCATTCATTTGAAACTTACGATAACCATCGCACTGCTCCAACAAACGCTCGACAAAATTTGAAACAGCATCTCGAATAATATTTCAGGTCATATCATTTTGTGAATATATGATTCGAATCGGCAAAACATTATTCAATAATAAATGTTATGACTGATTGTAAGCATGCATTGTGTCAAGTCACAGTTCTGTGAGCCTCATGTTCACAATAGGGACACAAGGCAATTCTACTTGTTTTCCTTGATGATTGGTCTAAAAACAAAATACTGCAATTTTAATTATGTTTACTGTAACCAAGATGCCTGAACGTGAAGGATTTGATGGAATATTGACACCACGAGTGCGGATTTATCTTCATTCAATAAATGAAACAGTATTTTTTGTCTTAGAATGTGTGTATAATATTTCACAAAATGTCGTTTCCTGCATGAAAATCTGGCAAAATGATCGTTCATAACATAACAGATAAATCTCGCAAATATTCATCGTGTTGTGTGTCTCATAATGTTTGGTTATTCGATGAAATTCATAATAAACACACGAAATCCAATCAGTAATCACTTTCAATACGTTGAAGTAATTATTTCAAGGCTAACTTACTTTATGCTTAGGCGAAATCATAATTGAAATGCTGAAAATAATTCCAGCTGTTGTCAATACCAAGCAAACTGAAATTATCACCATCCTCCATGTTTCATCAAGACGAGCCATTCTTGGACTCGATAGAACAGCAAATATCAATGGTGAGACTAAAAGAATTGCCGAAATGATCTGTTGATTCCGATCGCCAAATGCAGTCAAATAGATATTTCCCTAAAGAGTTCGCACATTGATTTCATCATCTCGATGTATTCATGAAAAATTAAAAAAGCAACAATAGCACAAAAATCATTGTCAGTTGAATACATTTTCTATTCAAAGCATAAAAGTATGAAAAAACATTGTGACATAACAACTTTGAAGAATCACCGGGAAATACAAATTCGAAATCGTGGAAATTGTTTAGTTGACGTTATCATCACTTCAATGCAAAACGGTATTTGAAACAAACATTTATTCAACTAATCGAACAGTCTCCTTAACCTCTTTTCTTTTCAGTTGTCATCATCATTTGTCAATAATCAAATTCACAGTTATCCCTAACTCACAAATGGATCTAATTTATTTGTTTTTGTCAGATGTGCACATGACTATCAGAATGTTCTAGAATTATTCTCGACAACGTTACAATCGTATTACATTTCATGAAAACTCAATGTAAAAATATAAACACAGTCATAAACATCACTCAAAATTATGTTTGACTAACGGTTATAATCATGATGATGGCACTCCTTGTATATGCAGTGTACAATGCTCTGATGAATATGATAATGATTCCCAATACAATAACCATAATTCTAAAGCATGAAAATAAAATGTAGAATAAAATTAATTGAATTATACAATGAGCATAGCTTGAGTCATCTACGTTTCCCTATCAAATATATAAAGTTAATGAAAAACAATTCGATGATGAGTAAATCATTTTCAGAATAATTTGATAATAGTCGCTGATGAAAAATGCAATAACTTCCTTCACATGTGCCTTCAATAAGATATTTTTTTAAGAATCGTGGACTGAACAGATTATCATAATTGATCTTTCTATTAAATGGATGATCCTTAATTAGGATACATAAAATATTAATATCGACGATTTTCTACGTTTTTTGACTTACATCAGAAGGATTGTAGATAAACGACGTGGTTTGTCCAACGCAGTTGCATCGAATCTATTAAGCGAAACGATGATTTTTTAAATAATTTGATTTACTCACGTGCACGAATTTGTGGTGTTACAGACACAATTGTTATTTTCTTTTGACTTTGCACCAAATGCCCATGTTATCATGGTTGAAATATTTAGACTGAATAAATTCATGAACTCCATCTTCGAAAGAATCGACGTAAATGTTAGATACAGAGAGAAATGATAAATCAATACATAGATTACATGAAAATTTAATAGCCTAGCTTATTAACTTCACTTTCAAAGATATATTGACAGGTATGGATTCATGAACATGTTCAAAACGTCAGAAAACTAGATGTAAGCAGATATCATTCGACGATGCGTCATAATAATGATTCATTTTCTATCTATCTACTCAAAAATCCGTTTGCCCACAAATAAACATGCCTTCGTTTCTATCTATCTATATACCTTTAGGTATGAAAGATGCACTGCAGAACATTGTATGGACTGAATCAAGTCAGATCGTATAAATTATTAGACAATTTATATCATTTTATAAAAAATTACAAACTCACGTCACTATTTTTCAACGTTCAGTTAAAGCACTATTCTATGTGAACACCGAAATTTATAGCTGCATACACCAATTACTTGTCAACACATATTGATTATCAACTTGTAAGTTTTTTCATAAACTTTGGACCAAAGAATAATGAAAAACTCTTAGGCAAACAACAGATTATTGAATTGATTTTAGAACTGCACTAAACATATTCAGTGAACACGTGTAAATGCTTGTAAATGAAAAGCATGATCTATCTTTACATTATGTGTAGCTTAGATAAACGACCATTGTCTTATTACTTCAGATATATAGTGAACTGAAATGTCCTTATTGACAGTTCCTAAACACTGTGAAGATACACTTGAAAATATTTGTGTGTAGCGATGATGAGAGCCATCTATCATGAAAACACGATGCTTAGTTTCCGATAACAGGACACTGATATTTATGATTTAACTGCAACTGGATGGAAAATAAGGTTTTTAATTGTAAGCGACTTTTCGACTGATATATTGAAACTGCATTCAAGTAAATATTTATGTATTATTCTAAGTTCTTCGGGACATAGTTTAGTGGCAGTAGAAAAATGATGTTGTTCAGTATAGATAATCGTTCGTTTAGGCAGGAAGACATGTAAAGAAACAGCGCAAAGGCAGGTGGAAGGAAATAAAATCGGGTGAGTTCGCCAACTGTCTTGCACTGAAGCATGAATATCTTCATTTTGTCTGGATACAGCAGGAGAAAAAAGCTTCAAGCGTGAAAGCATGCATAGATACATTCAATCAACTATTACTTCCTTTTCCATGCCCGGAGTATAGGCCGCCCACCAGTTTTCTTCAATCAACACTGTCCCGAGTTTCCTTTGCCAGTTCTGTTTAATTGTCTTACATTCTTCTCATATCTTTCTCCATTTCTTTGCGCAATGTGTTGTTTGTCCCTCTTTTTTTTCCCTCTGACCTGAGAGTTTCAAGTGAGGGCTTGTCTTGTGACGCAGTTAGGTGCTTTTCTTAGTTCGAATCCTATCCACTACCATGACTTCTCACTGATTTCTCGTCCACTGGAATGTAGTTTTATTTTCTTCCAATGTACGTTGTTGCTGATCATGCCTCGGCAACGAACCCGAAGTATGTTGCGGAGACAGGTGTTCATGAATACTTGTATCTTATGGATGATGGTTATCGTGGTTCTCCAGATTTCGCTGCACACATTAGAACTGTCTTGACATTTGTACTAATAATCCGGATTTTTATGTTGAATGATATTTGTTCGGTTTTCCAGATATTTTTAATTGTAGTAATGCAGCCATTCCATCGCCAATCCGCCCCTCAATCTGCATCGGGTCCACCTTTCTCGTCGATGATACTGCCAAGAAATGAAAAGGTGTTAACATCCATCAATGCATGTCCATCAACAGTGCTTTGTTTGGTGTATGTACTGTTGCACAGGAGAATTTCGCTTTTTCTTTATGTTTGTTGAGACCTACTGCTGAAGAGGCTGCTGCTCAACTGGTTCCTCAACCCATAACGTTTTGAAGAGGATATGAAATATTTTCGCAGTTGCTTCTACATCTGCTTTCGTCGCTTCTCATTGAATAATGTCTGGTTCTGCTGATTTGCTGCCCTTGATTTGTCCGACATCCATGCTGATTTCTTCAAATGTAACTGCGCCAATGTTCACTGACAGGTCCGTGAATGCTGCTTCAATGTTGGGTGGGTTCGAAAGTTCCATACCGTGCTTAACTCACCGATTTCACTGTTCATAGCGGACATAGGATCAAGAAACACTTTAAAAGAAGGGATACAATCAAAATAAATGTGCGAAAAAGGGTAGGCTTATGGTAAACACCAACCAATCAAGATCGAGCTTAGCAGAACCAGCTACAGGTCAAACGTGGAGTAATTTGAATGCTTTCATTGTATCCGAAGTTTGTGCTGATGATGTTGTTCAGAAGAACAACGAAAGATTCATAACAAAAACAACCACCTCAGAGAACGAAGCCTGTTTGATCCGAGTTTTAACAGCCTTGTGTCATCGTAACGGAGCTCGTAGACTAAATGTGTGCTATCGGAGATTTGAGTCAATGTTCTTTGACTGTTTCAAAGTCAGCTGTCATTTTTATAGCCAAGAAGTGCAGGCGCCTGAGCTCAGCATCAGCCAAGGACTAACCCCCCAATCTGTTTAATGTGGAAAGGAGGAAATATCTGAGAATCGCCTGCTTTATAGAGTCGTAGACGTCTAGTACTTGAAAACTGAGTAGAACCTCGATGACAGCAGCAGTTTGGTTCAAGGTTAGCAATCCCAGAGCGTTTTTCTGCTCCGGGTTCATAATGCAAAAGAAACTAGATATCTGTGTTGTGGGGAATAACAGAAACAGTTCGATAATTAATAACCTGTACTTTGGAGTCTGTTATATAATCTTCGTTCCTCACTTTATTCACCACAAAAGAAGTGTGTTGTATTTAAAAATCGATAGCTTCTTAGCTACAATCAATTTAAAAAGTATCTATTGTATATAGCACAATAACAGACTTATGACAAATGATGGAATTTTGACGGCAGTTGATGCGTATGCAGAGTAATCACCCACTGATGAAAATGTCCATCGCAATATAATCAAGATGAATAATGTTCCGGCTACGAATGTACTTATTACTGTAAACTAAGTAAGAACAGTAATTTGGTTGTAAACATATTATCGATCCAATGACAACAAATAACGCAGAGCACACCAGTTAGGACAAATAATAAATGACTGATTACACTGTTTTTGGAAAGAAGAGTAAGAGAGTATCTTTGATGAAGGTTTTTATAGCGTCAGAGCTGATATACTACCAAACACCAAACACGTTCCTGTCACTAAGAGTAAACTAATCCAGAAAAAGTTATATATTTACTGTTGATTTTTCGGTATCATAGTAATACCGAAATCGTACCAAAGTGAATAGGACCAACGTAGTTTTTAGCTCAGGATATAATGAAAGGTGTAGCAAGCGTGTAGTATGGGAAGAATTCTTATACCTTATCTGTCGTAAATTGAGATGTTGGTCTCAAAAGCGTACAGGTTAACGTACTTGAGTTGATACTTCTGTTCATACATCGTGCAAAAGCCATCCTTTTGACGGTCAGGGGTAGCCTGGACTGCCTTTTTAGGCACTAAATCAGAGTGTCATCCTATATGGTTCATGTGACACGGGCTGTTGACTGGGTGGTGAGAATGATGTCTTCCATGCTGGGCTACACCTGGCAGTTTAGAGTGATCTAGCATGAGGTCTTAACTCCCCACGAAGGGCTCTTAATCGACAATCGATGGATTGATTTGACGAATGCGTGTCATGGTAATGAAGCTTGAAAGTATTTTCGTGACAGTAAATAACGTGAAATATTCCTTTGTAAGGTATACATCCATTTGATACTATTTGGCTACCACTGAAATGAAAAGAATCTTCAGTTGTAGGCACATTTAAAAGACGTCTTTATAAAAGGATGGAACATGCATCAAGGTAAATGACGTTAGACAAACCCTAGCAATACAATTTGAATTTTCTTCCATACTAAAGCAACGCAATTAATTTTTTGATGACAAAAGTTAAATATTGAAGAATCACTGCAGATTAGCATGAATACTGTTACGAACTAAATTCAAACATGTGAGTCACCGGATTGATTAGCAGCAGTTAGGAGTTTGAGATCAGGTCAGCAAATCCTTTTCAAGTTTCATCATCATTGTTTTTATCAATGTTATTATCAATAATCTTGTCTTTTAATACTGTCATCAAAATATTTTTCAATGTGCATTGTACTGAGAAACGCAACTGATTGTTGTTCAATGAAACGAATTTGTCCGTTATTCAAGTCCGGTAATGCGTTTTCAGTTAATTGTCATCATATTCACTTGGAAGGTAATAGGAAACAACAGTATTTATCTAATAATAGACAATATGACAGTTGGTGGAGTTTGACACAGTGTGAAAAATTCCTCATCATACTTTGTTATTATTTGAGTGCGGATACTGACTTCATAGTGGTAGTTTAAACGATTACTCAAATCCACAACATGTGAAGTAAACATTTACTAATAAAATGTCTGTTGATCACGATTATATAAACAGAAATTGATAACCGAGGTACGAGAAATTGAGCTCAATCTTCCCAAAGTGCAGTGACTGCATTATCGAGAATCCCGTTGTTTGAGTACTTTCACAAAAGAAGTAACTTTGATTGTCTATATTCGATGAGACCGATCGACTTTTCATGAAATTCAAGTGTAAAAGCCCAATTACGATGAGATGATGACCATACAGTATCTCATACCTTATCTCATTCTTTTGAATCGAAATTGACGCAGCACAAATTGTAGGTACTATTGCAGCAACTCACAAATATTTTGTACGCGTACGTATGCTTGTGCATTGCTGAGCGCCCACACGTATAGTCATTTTGTTAGATTCATTGATTACTGGTTGAAATAATTCGATAGCAATCTCAAATATACGCATTTGTAAATTATTCAATAAAAGCATCAACTATCTTATATTCGAATATGTGTGTGTGCATGATCAATTACTTTGACATATCGAGGCTAATGATGCCTGACTATATATAATCTATCGTCCTTCAGCACAGGATAGCTAGCTGATTCACCTACTAAAATTGTCTTCAATTAGCTTGTAATCTTTTCTTTAGAAGTGATTTCGCCTAAATGAATGATAATCTCTACCGGATATTCATCATTTCTACTGCTCCCCCGATATATCTTCAACAGCTTCTGAAATCGCCCAAATTTTCGTCAATATGCGGGTTCAATATAAATTGATGGTACATTCTTCTCCATACAAGCATGAAGCAGTATGAAATTTAATCCATCTTTGAGGATAAGGTTGTAAAGCATCACTAGGTACACCATAAAAGCTAAGCCCAAATGATAAGTTTCGGATGATTAAAATGTATTATCACGTTTCCTTGATAAATACCGCTCATTAACTCTTAACACAGATATGCATAAGCCTATGTTCAAAGTGTATTGACACTGACAATAAAGAACATATAAGTAACTAAATATTTGAAG